AAAAAAAAAAAAAAAAAAAAAAAAAAAAGAAACATGACTTCTCCATTGCGCAACACACACTGGGAAACTGGAAATGCTTCTGGTGAGAGTCTGGGCTGCATGTGGGTTGTATCGTTTGATACTACAGCGCTCATCGAGAACACGCTCTGCCTACACATTATGGCCATTCATGTGAAAATCCAAGCACACTCTTATTTCCAAGCTGATAGCCAAATCAGTTCATTACACTTTAGTGCATTTAATTTCCTCATTAGAGACTGAGCTTTGACAGGGCGCTGGAGATGTGAAATGGACAACCCACTGAACAGACACTGCAATCTGTCAAGGTCCAATTGGAAAAGCCAGATGAGCTGTCAGAATGTGTGTGTGCGCGCGTGTGTGTGTATGTATGTGCAAGAGTCTGTAAGGAGGGTGCTTGTGTGAGCTGTTACTTTTTTTTCCCCTGATTAGTAAGCTCTTACAGCTGCAGATGACACAAAGAGGGGACAAATTGTGTAAAAAAAGATGGGAAGCATGGTGGATTTTCAGCCTGTGGCATTCAGATAAAGGGTAATGTGCTCTAATTATAATTTGAGTCCTGCATTTAACTTTTGTTGCTGTGAATGAACAGGATATTAGCTCTGTTGCAAAGAACTGCGATAACATTTTAAACCTTGCAAGGAGCAAAAATCACTTAGTGGAAATTCTCTTCAGTTGGACAAATGGATGACCAAACTGAGGCTAGATTCAGAGAGAAGTTCGCTATCCTTGTGGTTCGGTCATTCATCTGTCAGTTATGTTGAATATATTGTTTTCGTTGTCTTACTGATGTTAAATAGGCTCCATTCAGTCTGTGGTGGAAGTGAAAGAGCAAATCAAAGTGCAATCTCGTAGAGGAAATGAGTTTTTTGCAACTGTTGCTGGAGTGCAGTCATTGTGCAACCTTGGACAGGAGCTGATGTGACTCTAATTTGTGTGTGCAGGTGCAATTTCATGCCAAAATGGTCCTTGAAATTACACAGTTATTCTGCCATGCTTCTACTCTCTAAAAGGGGAAAATATTTTTTTTTTTTTTTTTGTTCTTTTTTTAATTTTCAGGACTCAGAAAACAACAGGTGCTATTTTCTCTTCAGTTAGAAACCATTCTTCCTACCGATTGTGGTGATTACGGTCCCGGCAAAGAAGAAGGAGGAACTGAGGTCCCACAGGCTCGTCTGATTGGATAAATTTGACGATGGATTCACTCCAGCACGAACTGCCGAAACCAGTTGCTGCAGACGAAAGGAGAGCAGTTTAAACGTTAAAGACGGCGAGTCTCGTTGGGAGTTTGACACAATATAAGTTCAGAAACTCAGAAGATGAATACAAAATTAGTGGTGCACGACAACTATCCTGGGGAATAAATGACAGCCGAGGTAAACATCCAACGAAGCCAATTAAGAGTGGAGAACAGATAAGTAGCATCTGTCACCTTTTGAAGATTTTTCTTTTAAGTTGCAGCCTTATTCACAAAGAACCTGTCAAGGCTGTTGGGAGTAAAGCAATAATTCTTGTTTACCTTTTTGTGTTTTCCAAAGCCAAGTTTCACACCCACTTCACCTTTTAAAAAAGCCTTAAATCAACATGTGGTCTCCAACGTGAACACTAAAATACAAAGAGCCTCCCCACTCTAAAATCCATGCTTTGTCTATTGTGTTTGAGTGAAAGACTGAACATTTTAACTCTGTGTGAATTGGTGACTTTCTGCACCTGGGCTGCTAAATGCACGAATGCTAAACAAGGTAAGATGAACTCAGTTTAGCCGTTTTCATTTCTACTGACAGTTTTGGCCCCTCTTGCTCTCTCGCAGTCTAAATAAACCACAGACAAATCCTTAAAAATACAGTTTCCTTTGTATTTCTCTAATATCTAACTCATCTAACTTAGTTATAAAGCTCAAATTTTCCTCAAAAGACTTAAATTTGAATTAGATATTCACAAGTCATTTTTCCTACATCTAAATCATGACTCAAGTCTTTGAGAGGCAAGTTCAAGTCAAGTTAAGTTTTCTTAATAAATGCATACCAAAACACACTTCTGACCAACAGTGCATTACTTTAGGTTAAGAATTGAAATGTGTAATGTTTACCATAGGTTCTAATTTAATGCAAACATTCAATCGCACTTTTTGATTCTAGCACTCGCCAACAATCATTTAATGTTTTCAGATTTGAACTTAATATTACACACATAATGATCTGATTTTATTGTATTTTTCATGCTCAAATCTTTCAGTTTAAGCAAAAAAAAAAAAAAAAAAAAAAAAACAAAAAAAAAAAACCCTGTTGAACTTCTGTGTTTTTTTTTTTATTTTTTAAAAA